CTAAACGATGTAACCTTGTGACTTTTCCCTTTAAAAACTGAGCTTGCAGACAGGTGGGCACTTCCTCCAGCCTCCACTGCGTTGGATGTATTGGACGAAGTCCCTGCCTAGGCTTGTATTGCTTTTGGATATCCAGAATTAAACCTTGCTTTTGCATTCCAGCATGCTCATCTTTGGTGGTCTCTCTGAGGGTCACGATCTGGGCACAACACACACACCTGTGTAGAATATTATTTTAAGGTGTGTTACTTTTGTTTATGTTGCATTTTTTAACTCTATGAAGCTGTGTTACTGTGCCTGTGTAAGACACTTGATGGTCTAATAAAGAACTGAATGGCAAGGCAGGAGAAAGGATAGGCAGGGCTGACAGGAAGAGAGACTATATAGGGAGAGAAATCTGGGAGGAGAAGAGGAAGGAATGAGAGAGGAAGGAGGAGGACTCTAGGGGCCAGCCACCCAGCCACCAAGCTACATAGCCAGACATGGAGTAAGAAACAAAGAAAGGTATATAGGATAAAGATAAAAGTCTAGAGGCAAAAAGTAGACAGGATAATTTAAAGTTAAGAAAAGCTGGCAAGCAACAAGCCAAGCTAAGGCCAGACATTCATAATTAAGAATAAGCCTCTATGTGTGATTTATTTGGGAGCTTAGTGGTGGGCCTCCCAAAAGTGTAAAAAAAAAAAACACCACCAACACACCTGTGCATACATACACACATCTCCTGGAGCTGGAGTAATGGGTGGTTGTGAGCCCTTTGATCTGGTGCTGGGAATCAAACTCCAGTCCTCAGAAAAAGCAGTACAAGCTTTTCATAGCTGAGCCATCTCTCAAGCCCCAAAACAAACAATTTTTTTAATGACAACATCTTATAGATTGGTATTAGTTCAGTGGCTACCAGAGTTGGGGGCAGGAGGAGGTAGCAGGTGTGACTGCAAAGAACAATGCAAGAGTCCCGCGTGCTGATCGAGTGTAACATATCCTGAGTTTATGTAATGATGGTGAACACATGAGATAGAGTCCTGCGTGCTGATCGAGTGTAACATATCCTGAGTGTAATGATGGTGAACACATGAGATAGAGTCCTGCGTGCTGATCGAGTGTAACATATCCTGAGTTTATGTAATGATGGTGAACACATGAGATAGAGTCCTGCGTGCTGA